CGCAGAGTGCCCCATCATTTGCATATCATAACCTTGCGGCTATCTTCGCTCACGAACCCCTCTTTGCAACGCTGGATCTGCAGCCGTCTTGGGCGGTCGGGAACCGGAACAGGTGATCACTTCATAATCTATCAAACACTTAAGGAACATCAGCGGGTTTGGCCTCCTCGGACTCTCTAGGAGGGCCTCTTGGAGACCTCTCGGGCCGTCTTGGGGGCTTCTCGATATGTCTTGAGGCCTTCTTGGGGGCCTCCTCAGCCGTCGTGGGCCATCTTGAGCCATCTTGGCGTTATCTTGGCTGCCTTTAGCGCAGTCCTGGAGGCCATGAGGCTCCCAAGAAGGCCTCAAGACAGATTTAGAGGTCCCCGGGACGGCCGAAGAGGTCTCCAAGATGCCCTCCAGGAGAGTCCGAATCTGCCAAACCATTGATTTCCGCAGGTTTTTGTTGAAGGATTTTGACGTTCTGATATGTTCGGGTTCCCGACCGCCCGCGGCAGCCTGCGGGGCCTCTCTGGGCAGTGTTGACGCTCTCCTGGAGTGTTTCGCGGCTGTCTTGGGGCCTTCCTTTGGAGCCCTTTTGGGCGACCTTTGGGTTCTCTTGGGCCGACTTGGCGCCCTCTTGGGGGCCTTGTGCGCTGCCTTGGAGCTACAGTGGATGCCTCTTGGAAACCTCTCGGGCCGCCTTGGGCGCATCTTGAGCCGTTTTGTTGTCGTCATAGTTCTCTTGGAAACTGTCTTGGAGGCCATCTTGGCCGTCCTGGATCTCGTGGGAGGCCTCTCGGAGGCCTCTTGGAGACAGTTTTGAGGCCTCTTGGGGGCTGTTTCGGGGCCCCTCGGAGCCTTTTTTTGCGCCCCTTGGGGGTCTCTTGTGGCCTCTTGGGGGCTTCTTGAGGGCCTAGTGGGGCCTTCTGGGCGCCTCTTGGGGCGGAAGGCCAGGATTTTCGGTTCGTATTGTCTCTCCGTGGCCCCGTTTGGGGCCGCCTTGGGGCCCTCTTGGGCCGTTTTGGGCACCTCTTGGGCCGTTTTGGGGCCCTCGTGGGCCGTTTTGGGGCCCTCTTGGAGGCCTCTTGGGCCGTCTTGGGGCTCTTGGGAGCCTCTAGGGACGTCTCGGAGCGTCGGGAAGCCGAAAAGGCGACAACCGAAGGAATATTAATGATTTTGGATTGTTGGGGCCCTCTTGGGAGGCCTCGTGGAGGCCTCTTTGGGCGTCTTATCCTGTGCCGTCATTGGGGGCCATCCTGAGCGTCTTGGAGCGATCGTTCGGCGACTCGGGGCCCTCTTGGACTGTCTTGGGGGGCCTCTTGGGGCCCTCTTGGCCCGTCTTGGGGTCCATCTCGGGCCCGAATCATTTATGCGACGACACGTCCCGGAGCCCAGGGGGCACGCGGGAAGCCCCTGAAGATTGGAGAGCGAAAGGGCCGAGCCCCTGAGAGACTCCTCGGGAGTGAGGATTGAGGCTCAGAGGACTGGGCCCAGGACCTGAGATACACTCCAGGCGATGCTTAAAAAAACCCAAGTTTTCGGCCAGAGTCTCGATTATTCTTAATGTTTCAATGTAAATCCTAACATTTGAATAGACATTCTGGGTTTGATTTCAAATTCTGAGACTATGAATTTCTTAACACATGATTTCTAAAGCATTTCGCAGGGTGTACGCCCACTCCGTGCCCAGAGCCACAGTGGCGGACCAAACCTCCCAATCAACAGACGAGCATTCCAACACGCCCACTCCGTGCAGGCACGGTGGCGGATAGCTTCACACTTGCCCAGGTACGTGAAATACGATGGAGCACGGCAGATATCAGGTTGCAGCTTGCCTTGATGAAGTTGCGTTCGAATTGTCATGTATTCCTCATTCCCTCTTCCTTCCCTCCGTGATCCTTTGCATGAGCTGTTGCGCCCTGCGCAGCAAGGCCAGCGGGAGGTGGGGAGGTGGATTATGGGGATTGGGATCTGAGAAAGAGCGTGTTCTACCGCTGCTGGCGGAAAACCGAGGGGGGGGTCACTACCGGTTCGAACCCCTTCCCCCCCCCCCCTCCGGAAAACCGGGGGGGGTCACTACCGGTTCGAACCCCTCCCCCCCCCCCCCAGCTCATCATGAAAAGGGGGGGGGTCACTACCGGTTCGAACCCCCCCCCCCCCCTCGAAAACCGAGTGGGGGTGCGGACAGTGGTGGGGACGGTGTTGGTGGGGACAGTGGTGAGGGGACAGCGGGACAGTGGTGGGGACAGTGGGGGGACAGTGGGACAGTGGTGGGGACGGTAGTGGTGGGGACAGTGGTGGGGACAATGGTGGGAACAGGGGGGACAGTGGACAGTGGTGGGAACGGTGGTGGTGGGGACAGTGGTGTGGGGACAGTGGGAATGAGGTGGAAACACTGGGACAGTGGAGGGTACAATGGTGGTGGGGACACTGGTAAAGGCGGTGGCGAGGACGGCGGTGGGACAATGGGACAGAGGTACAGTGGGGACAGTGGTGGGGACAGTGGGGACAGTGGTGGGAACAGTGGGACAGCTCAGTGGGACAGCGGAGGAGTCAGTGGGACAGTGGGGACAGTGGGGATAGGCAGTGGTTGGGTCCGTGGAGACAGTGGGGAGAGTGGAACCGTGGTGGGAACAGTGGTGGGAACAGTGGGGACAGTGCGACAGTGGTGGGGGCACTGGTGGGGACAATAGGGACGGTGGTGGAACCAGTGGGGACAGTGGTGGTGAGGACAGTGGTGCTGGGAACAACAGTGGGGGATGTGATGCGAGCGGTGGTAGGGACCGGGAGTCGTTTGCTGGCGGTGCGTGGGGGGGGGGCGAACCGGTAGTGACCCCCCTCCGGTTTTCGAGGGGGGGGGGGGGGGTAGTGACCTCCCCCGGTTTTCCGGATCTGGAGGGGGGGGGGGGGGAGGGGTTCGAATCTGTAGTGACCCCCCGGCTTTCGAGGGGAGGGGGGGGGGGGGGGGGGAGGGGTTAGAGGAGGGGGGGGTTTTGCCGGGAGGGAGGGGAGGGGGGGGGGAGGGGTTCCAGCAGGGGGGGGGGAATTTTCGGAGGGGGGGGGGGGGAGACCCCCGGGTTCCGGAGGAACAGGTCGGCAATTTTCCAGTAAAGCGGCGGTGGATCACGCTCTCTCGGATCTGAGGAAGTGCTGGTAGCTGGCACCAGTACGTTGCTCCCACTACTCCATGATCGCCCCGCCACGCCACAACAAAGTGTGGCCCGTTACAGGCCCGATACGTGACACACGATTGAGCACGGCAGGTATCGGGCTGATGCTCGCCCTCGTGAGGTTGCGTTTGAACTGCCTCTCCTCCGCCCTTCGGAGGGACTGTCTCGGTGCAAAGGCGCTGAGAGTAAGTGAACATTCCGGCACGGTTTTGTTTGTTTTCTGTTTACATATAATGATAATGATATATATATATATATATATATATAATTGTATACAATTATGCATAACTCCTGTGATGGCGGTAATCCTGGTGGTCCTTTGCGTGAGTTGCTGTGCGTCAGCTCAGCAAGGCCATCCACAACAGGGGGGGGGGATTCCAGTGGGGCAGGGCGTCGCAGGTGCATGCTGCTGGCTTGGGGCGATACTTTCACTCGGCGTGTCGTTCTTGAGCGGCACCGCCTCCACGGTCCCACGAGTCTCACGGGAAGGACGGATGCTGAATTGTGGCATGTGCGGAATCTTGTAAGATTACTCCGAGATTCTTCAGCGTCGGGGGGGCGTCACCCCCGCCGACAGCCCCACATCGACCCCCGTCGCGGGCAGCCACCGCGCGCCGAAGGCGCTCCGACCCCCGTCGCAGCGCGACGACGAGGCGAGGTTGATCGCAGTCGGGGGGGTACCCCCCTACGCTTTTTGGTGTGTGTGTGTGTGTGTCCAAGTGCCAGTCTGTTCTTGGAGGGATGGCTGTCCTCTGCCTCCTCCAACTCCCCCCTCTCTCGTCCTCCTTGTCCTACTCTCTCGTTCCGTGCGCGTCCTCTCGGCCACCCCCTCCACCCTCGCATCTCAGTCCCTCCTGCTCCTCGGCGGGTTTCTGGTCATTCCCATAGGAGCTCAAGGAGATGATCGAGAGAGCAGACTCGAACGGAGACGGCGCCATCACTCCGGAGGAAGTGTTCGAGGGAGGAATATTCTCGCAGGGGGGGGGGCAAACGGGAATTCGGCGGGGCCAGTGTCTCATTCACTCGAGCCAATTTCGCCGAGTGAGGGTTAACTTCCAGACGACGCGTTCGGATCGCGTGGCGTCCATGTGTTTCAGGACCAGCGGGTGTGACTTTGCATTGCTTTCATACGTTATTGGTTGAAGGGCCTGCGCTGTTAGCCAAAGCACCACGCGCGGTTGATTCGAGCAGCCTCCGCACGACAACATTTGACTGGAGGTCGGTGGTAGCAAGAGGAGTTGTGGGGGGACGCAGTACGAGGGGGACAAGAAGGGGGTATAGCAGTCGGCGGAGGAGGAGGAGGAGGAGGAGGAGGAGGAGGAGGAGGAGGAGGAGGAGGAGGAGGAGGGACGAGGAGGAGGAGGAGGCGGAGGAGGAGGAGGAGGAGGAGGAGGAGGAGGAGGGGCAGGCTCCCGTGAGTAACATGATTTGTCCATCAAGTGGGATGCTGAGCATTCCTCATTTTTCCGACGGCTGGGAATTATCGGAGGTGGCCTGTTTGTGGTGGCATGGACGCGTCGTATTTTTTTGGCAAGTCGGCTTCCTGGAGTTCGCGGAGAGGGTCCAGGTGAGGAGGGAGGATGCGAAAGAGGAGACGGAGGGGGAGGGAAGGAGGGATGGAGGAGAGGGGAGGGAGAGGAGAAGGAGGGATGGGAAGGGCCCAGGGGCTCAAACACGTTCCATCAGGAGTCCCAAGCCGAGGGGACAGCAGTCCGAATGGAAACGAGCAACTTAGAATGAGGGTCTACCTTCCATGCTGGATGTTCCATAGCGTCTAGATGCCCTCGCGATGCCATCGCGATGCCTCGCCGCCTCGCGCGCGCGCGAGTCGCCCGCGCCTTGGCCTCGTGGCTCGAGCGGTTCACCCGTTTCTGCCCGAGTACGGCCGCAGCCGTGTACGCGCGCCTGCAGGCGAGCGTTGGCGAGGAAGGGACGGTGACGAGGAGGACAGAGGCCTGAGGTTACGGGTTTCGGATAGCATGTTGAACGAGGAGCGAAGGCACGGCTGACGAGCGGGAGGCGGAGGACGAAGAGGAGGGAGAGGAGGGGGAGAGGGGGAGGGGGGATCGGGAGGGAAGGTGGCGAGGAAGAGGAGGATTACTTCATGATGATTCCGATTCCGACGATGCTGACGACGACGACGATGTTGCTGATGAGGATGATGATGATGCCGATGAGGACGATGGTGAGGATGAGGATGGTGGTGGTGTTGATGGTAAGGATGATACATGATGCTAATGCTGGTTAATATGATGACGATGATGATGATGCTGATGCTGCTGCTGATGCTGATGCTTAGTATGACGATGGTAGTGATTATGACGATGCTGATGCTGCTGCCGATGCTGATGCAGATGCTGCTGATGATGATGCTGATGCTGATGCTGATGGTTATGATGATTGCTAAAGTAATGGTGGTGATGATGGTGAGGATGATGCTGCTGACGATGAATTTGATGGTGGAGGTGGTGATGGTGTTGATGATGATGGTGTTGATGATGAGGATGAGGACGATGCTGATCATGTTGATGATGATGATGCTGATGATTATGATGGTGGTGATGCTGGTTCTGCTGATGATGTCGCTGATAAAGATGATGATGACGATGACATTGATGGTGATGAGGACGCTGAACAAGAGGCTACATCTGATGATCGTGATGATGCTGATGATGATGATGATCACGACGATGATGATGCTGATACTGATGATGCTGATGACGATGATGATGATGATGATGATGATGATGATGATGATGATGATGCTGATGATGATGATGTTGATGATGATGATGGTGACCATGTTGATGCTGATGCTGATGCTGATGATGATGGTGATGGCGCCGATGCCGACGCTGATTATGATGCTGGCATGACGTGGATGATAGTGGTGGTGATGGTGACGATGCTGATGCTGACGAGGATGCTGACATGACGGATCTGCTGGCGGTGATGGTGACGATGACGATCAAGATGATGAGATGATGAGATGATGAGATGATGATATGATGCGATGATGGGATGATGAGATGATGATGATGACAATGACGCTGATGATGGTGATGATGATGATGTTGATGATCATGCTGATGATGATGATGATGATGATGATGCTGATGATGACGATGATGCTGGTACTGATGGTGATGGTGATGATGATGACAATGACGCTGACGGTGATGATGATCCTTCCTCCTCCTGTCGCCTCCTCCCCTTCTCTTCCCCCTTCTGGCTTGGTAGCAACCAGGGTCGTTTTCCTTTTCACGCGCAGCTTGGCAATGAGTGCAGGATTTGCCATTTATCGGCAGCCGTGGGCGCATTCAGGAGCGGTGCGATTGATGTTCATCCTCCCGCTGTGTCGACATTTGCTCGCTTGGAGTAGGGCTCCAAGAGCATGGAATGACCTTCACAATCAGCGTCACCCGAGTCCGGGGCCATTGCAGGTCTTTGCTTTCACGGCCTCACGGCGTTGCGGTCGCCTTTGTCGGATAGCCCCCTGGAGGGGCAGCGGATTCCTCCTTCTCCCCCGCCTGTTTACCGTGAAAAAAAAACTGATGGTGATGGTGATACTGATGATTTTGATGATGATGATGATGATGATGATGACGATGCTGCTGACGATGATGATGCTGGTGGTGTTGATGATGATCATGATTACGATGGATATGGTGGACGTGATGACGATGATACTGATGATCGTGGTGACGACGATGATGATGCTGACGATGATGACGATGATGATGTTGATAATGAAGATGCTGATGAGGATGCAAATTATGATGTTGTTGATGATCATGATGACGATGATTGTGGTAATGATGATGGTAAATATGATGGTTGTGCAGATAATGATAATGATGAAGAAGAAAAAGAGGCAGCTGACGACGCTTATGATGACGATGATGATGATGAGGACGAAGATAACGATGATGCTGCTGATGATAATGATGATTATGATGGTGGTGATGGTAGTGATGATGCTGCTGATGATTACGATATGACGATGATGATGACGACGATGATGATGCTTATTATGATGATGATGATGATGCTGATGCTGATGCTGATGCTGCTGATGATGCTGATGATACTGACGACGATGATGATGATGCTGATGCTGCTGATGATGATGATGATGATACTGATGACGATGACGATGATGATGGTGATGAAGATGATGATGATGATGATGCTGACGATGATGATGCTGATGATGATGATGATGATGATGATGATGATGCTGATGATGATGATGACGATGATGATGATTATGATGATGATGACGATGATGATGATGATGATGATGATGATGCTGATGATGATGATGATGATGATGATGATGATGATGATGATGATGATGATGATGATGCTGATGATATTGATGCTGATGATGATGAGTATGCTGGTGGTGGTGGTGATGTGATGGTGATGGTGATGCTGATGCTGATGCTGATGATGTGTATGCTGATGAGGAGGATGAGTCGGCGGGGGAGGAAAGGGAGTGGGAGGAGGAGGAGGAGGAGGCGGAAGAGGAGGAGGAGGAGGAGGAGGAGGAGAAGGAGGAGGAGGTGGAGGAGGAGGGGGAGTAGGAGGAGGAAGAGGAGGAACTGGAGGAGTAGGAGGAGGAGGATGAGGATGGAAAAGAAGACGACGACGCCTCGTTGAAGTTGTCCTCCTGCTACCCTCCCTCCCTCCCACTTCGCGCTCCCTTCTGATCTCTTCGCAATCGCTTGCGCCCGTGCCCTCCCGACCGGGACAGGCGCGCTGAGCATGTTGACCTGCTGACATCCAGGCCCGATGACGATGATCCAGCGACCTCCCCGCGCGCCTGAGTCCCCGCGGCACAGCAAGAGGAGGGGCGGGCCATCGTGCTTCTTTGCTGACGTTTGGCCAGGGCCACCAGTCCGCGGGGCAGAGGGAGCAGGGGCGAGCGTGTGAGAGGGAATGCGTCGCAGGAGGAGAAGGAGGAACTGGTTGACGACGAGTAGGGTCGGACCGAAGTATAAGGTCGAGGTCGGTTCGGGGAGGGTACCCAAATCTTCTTCGTGCTTGTTGGATGTTCTTGTGCATCCTGGGGCAGGGTGCCCTCGAATATTCTTCAGTTTGGCCAGCGGAGGGTCTCATGTTCTTGTGGGATGTCCTTCTGTGCTAGGTCTGGCCGTACCAGCGTGACCTGCGGTCCCCGTCCCTTCCGCGCTTCCCCCGCCTTCCCGCCTCTCCCCCCTCCCCTGGCCGCCGCCCCCAGGGTATCGCGTGCTGCTGGAGGTGCCCCTGGCTTAAGGTGCCCCCTGCTGCTCCCTCCATCTTGGAGCCGCTGGGGCCCTCGGGGCCCCGCGAGGGGTGCGCTGGAGGCCGTCTGGCCCGCCCCCCCCCGAGAAAATCCTGGGGGGGGCACCTCGGGCCTGGGGCACTTCTCTTGGCAGCGCCCCCCCAGAAAAGGGGGCAGGGCGCTCCAGAGCTCGCTCTGGGCGGCCTGGCCCCCCCCCCGCCGGTCGGGCGCCTGGAGGGCGAGGCGGGCGCCGCTCCCGTGGCCCTCCTCCCGGGCGGCCCCGGGCGGCCCCGGACGGCCTCGCGCCCTCTTCGGGGGCCCCCAAACGGTGTTCGGAGGTGGACAGACCTCCTACTCCAGATTTCGCAATAAAAGGGAGGGGGTCTGGACCCTCCAAGACAAGCCATTTCAGACCCCCCCCGTGGGAGAACCCTCCAAAACATCGTCCCCAGAACCCCCCAGGCCCTCCAAGATAGCTTGGAAAAGACACCCCCCGAAATGAGACCCCCCTCCCTTTATTACGAAATCTGGAGTACCCTGGCACGTCGATCAAGGAATTGGCCGTTTGCGGTTCGCGAGAGGGCGTCGCGGCCGTCCTTTCTGCGGGTCCGAGTCCGTCGGTTTCGGTCCCAGGCCGTTTTCACTAAAGGGAGGTTTGCTTAAGGGAGGTTTGGCCACCGCCGAGGTGTGGTGACCACACCGTGCGGCGAGTCGGTGGGGATTCGGGGTCACCGCACGGTCTTGGGACTCGGGTCCCTCTCCGAGGATGTCTCGGGCGACGTGGGCCTCCCGGGTCCCAACACCGTGCGGTGACGGACCGTGCGGCGAGGCCTCTTTCAGGAGGAAAAGAAACACACAGACACAATTAATTCTCGATTCCCAAGAAAATATGGGAAAATATGGGAAGTGGGGGGGAAGACAGAAACCCAGAAAATATAGGGAAATATGGGGAATCTGTTTATTTGTGTGTATTTATTTGTGTGTCCCAGGACCCCTTCACTCTTGGGGTTCCGAGGTCACCGCACGGTCTGTCACCGCACCGTTTCGGGACTCCAAGCCTCTGGGGTCGGCCTCTCGGCGGGTCGCTCGGCGGCCCCTGCCGGAAGGCTGGGGGGGTGGGGGTGGCACTCGTCGTCGCCCCGTCCTCGTTCCCTCGGGGGCAGCGACAGAAAGGGGGGAACAGGCACAGGGGGGGGGATGCATCGTCCCCCAATCGTCAATTCATCGCCGACGTTGGGCCCGATAGCCCTTTTCCCACCCAGGAACGGGGGGATTTGCTGCCGTGGGTCTATCGCCGATCTATCGGCGATGTATCGCCGATCCCCTCTTTTCAGGAGCGAGAGAAGGACGTACACGTACAGAAGTCCACGCTGGTTTCGAGCGTACGCACTGCGCGAACTTTCGTCTCACGAGGCTGGTCTCGCGGACTGGGGGGCCGTATTCATGTACAGTCAGGGCGTGTAGTAAGGATGAGCGACTTTCCAAGGTTACACTTGCATCCTTCCTTCTTGGCCCACCCTTGGCCACTTTTGCTGGCCGCGCCGAGCTCGAACAGTGTCGGCATGGCCTTCCAAGGCGCTTGCAGCCTCACCGAGCATCCTTATCATGCGCCTCGACTGTGTACGTGGCTTGGCGCGTGTGTCCTCTGCAGGCTCCCCGTCTTTCCCCTCCCCTCTGCGCCCCTCGTCGTCGGCCCCTCCCGGGGGTGCCGGAGGCCAGCCGCGGAAGGGAGCCCTCCGCGGCTCCCCGGTGGCAGTGGAGAGTGGGAGCGCTGGCCCCCCTCTCGGACGGGGTCCGCGCAGAGGGCGCGGCACTCCCCGTCCTCCTGCCCCCCTGCCCTGCACACGGGGCTCCCCCGCGGCGCGCTGGCCCCCGACGCGCTGTGCAGCCACGGGTTCTCCTGCATGCCGGCACGCACGTGGTCGGCTCCTCCTTCGTAACGCTGCCAGGCGTGTCGGTGGGACCGTTTCGCCCTAGGCGTCGACGCAACTTGTGATCCTGAACATGGAGCTTCAAACAGCTACTTGGATGGAGGGCAGGCCGTTTTCAATACGTGGTTCTCGCCCCAGTGCCGACCACATTCGTCTTCGAATGATCAATTGTCACACTGACGGAGGTGAGGTCGTTTCAAAATGCGGCTCCCGAGTCGGCGCCGCGCACAGTTGTCTTAACAGTTTCAAGCAGTCACAGGGATGGAAACCGGCTTCTTGCTCAAGTGGGGCTCTCGCTTGAGACTTCGGATAACCGACGGGGCACAGTTAATAGTTGAGGCCTGGTGCACTGGTGTGCATAAGATTTGCGGTATTCGCCGTTCGTCTCGGGGGCATTTCCTCCCTACGTCACGTTGGGTGGACCCACCGTCGTCGGCTGGGGGCTGTGCGGTGCTGGTTGCCGTGGACATGAGAAGGGTCGGGTCGGAGGTGTTCAAGGAGCGCCGCCTGAAATCTGGATGCGGGCTCTGGACTCGGATACAAGCACGGCGGGTTTGTATTTCTGGGCGGGTCGGGTAGGCCCGCTGGGATGACGTTTCACGAGCGTGACCAGCGTTCACCAGGAACCCATGACCTCTCCAACGCCCTGCGGGGTCTCCCACGCGGACGCTTGGGGGCATCGTCGAATCCTCTTCCCCACTCCTTGGCGAGGGTCACCGTCTGCCTCTGCCCTTCATGTTGTCACCATCGTCGGCTGGAGGAGGAAGAAGAAGAAGAAGAAGAAGAAGAAGAAGAATAAGACTCGGCATTGCGTGTGGTCTCATCCGCTGTGACCTGCAAGCGTCGAGCGTCTGTGCTCGACCCAAGGCTGTACCTCGCACAATCCCTGGTGAGGCGCTCATCCAAGGGATAGATTTTCGGAATGTCGATGTTGGGGTTGCGCTGGATAGAAGTAGAACGCCTGACATTTTCTGACATTACCTCAAGCCGCCAATAGAAGCCCACTTCAAAATATGGGCCACAACGCATTGCGGCTTTAACTGCGAACCTCACATGTCGGGAGCGGCCATAGCGAATGTCGCACATTCAACGCGCGAGAACCCGCATGCGCAATGCGCGTTCGCATGACCATGCCCAACCAGCGCCGCCGCGCGCCCGCGTGCGCGACGCACCCTTCGGCTCGAGCCGCGCGGAAACACCGATCAAACAACGCGCGGGGCAATTTCCCAATCTGTTGCTCGCGCGAAGCATGTGCAGGCGGCGCCATGTCTCGGGCCGCAGGGGCCACGCGTGGCTTTCAAAGGGGCCCGCGGGGGGCCCTGGGATGGCCCGCGGAGTCAACCGGAGTAGAGCACCTTAAGCGGCAGTTTCAGATGGTCCTGTCTGGCTCGCTCTCGGTTCCTTGCGGGGCCTCCCGAAAGCTTCGCGGGCGCCTCAAAGGACGTCAAGACGGCCCCCTGGCCGACCGGAGCTGAGAATTTGAGCGGATCGTTTCTGAAGCTGGCTCGATGACGGGGTCCATTGGAGCCTTTTCAGGTTCCTTTTGTGGCCATCTAGAAGTCCCTCGGAGGCCCGCAGGCTTCGAGAGGCACTAGGGCGCCCCCATCAGCCGACCATAGGGGGGCGCTTGAAACGGCCGTTTCAGATGCCCCGTCGCGGGTCGCTCTCGGAGCCGTCTTCGGGCCTTCTTGGGGCCATCTCGCCCGGGGGGTCTTGAGCGGGCCGTGGGGCGGCCCCAGCCAGACAGAGTGCGGCCTTTCAAGGTGATTGCTGTTCTGGCTCGCTTTCGGCGCCCTGCGGGGCCCAGTTGGAGGAACCTTGGGAACCCGAGGCGGCGCTGAGGGGGGTTGGGAAAAGGCTCCAGAACGGCCCAGCACGCAAACCTGATTGGAGCAATTGAAAAGTCGCGTCAGATGTCCCAGCCCCACCCATGCCCGAGACGCGAATATCAGCACGGACCCGCCCAATGAAAACATAACTTGGGAGCAGTGTCGGGGCGACTGTGCGCCGGCAGACAGGCCCTCGGGAATGCGGGCCACAGGGCAGCGTTTCGTGGCCCCATAGGGAGCCCCACCGAAAGCGGCACCCACAACGCGTTACGAACAATTGCTTATGGTTGGGTCCTTCGCCAGGATGATTTTTTCCCAACCATCCTGTGGTGTTGGGTCTTCGTTTTGAAGAGACAGCGCCCCGCGTCCCACCTTCCTCCTCCTTCCTCCTCCTTCTTCCTTCCTCCCCCCTCCCCTTCTTTGCCTCTGCTCTCGGCACACCTTTCACACGTTTCGTAGCCCCATAGGGAGCTCCACCGAAGGCCCCAGTGGTTGCTCTCGCATGCGTTTCCCCCGCCCTGGGCAGCGTTTCGTGGCCCCATAGGGAGCTCCACCGAAGGCCCCAGTGGTTGCTCTCGCACAAGTTTCCCCCACCCTGGGCAGCGTTGCGTGGCCCCATAGGGACTCCACCGAAGGCCCCAGTGGTTGCTCTCGCATGCGTTTCCCCCACCCTGGGCAGCGTTTCGTAGCTCCATAGGGAGCCCCACCGAAGGCCCCAGTGCTTGCTCTCACATGCGTTTCCCCCACCCTGGGTAACGTTTCGCGGCCCCATAGGGGGCTCCACTGAAGGCCCCAGTGGTTGCTCTCGCATGCGTTTCCCCCAC